GAATTTGCCCAAAGCTGAATGGTGAGTTGGGATTTTGCATCTGGGTCAATCCAAAATCTTTCCCACCGAGCGGAACTGAAGCCAAATGTCCTGACGATGACAGATAACCAAAGAAGGTCATGCTGCCATGTGCAACACTTGGCATTCAAAGCTGAGGGGTGGGTGGGCCCTTGGCCACCATCATGGAGCTGGAGAAGGAAGGTCGCCCGAATGAAGGTGCAAAATTCCATGGCATCTGAGCAGAGGCTTCTGGGGCAAACATATTCAGTGACCATCGCCATGTGCAGACACCTGGAGGCTGCTCCTTAGCTGTATGAGTTGGCTGCATCGGCATTGCCCTGGCTTCACCTGCCTGCTGCCCGCTTTGTAGTGGCAGCAGACAGAAACACTCACTACCTTGACAATCCCTCAATGATGGCAGCAGGGCCGTCTTTAGCAGATGCGGTGCCGGGGTGCAAATATCCACCCATTGCCCCCAAATTACCACAGATGGGGGGGGGCGCGAAGCTGCGCACTGCCAGCCATGTAGGGGGCGCAACTCTCCCCCATGCCGCTGCGGAGGAAAGCTGCGAGCAGGCCAGCCATATGGTTGGTGGGGCGCAGCTTCCATCCTAAGCCTCTGCAGGGATCGCTCTCCTCCTGCAGAGGCTTGGGAAGGAAGCTGCATGCCCACCAGCCGTATGGTTGGCGGGATGCAGCTGGTGGGTGTACAGGGAAAGGGGAGGCCGCTGGCAAAGCCACCCAGCTCCTCCACTTGCTGGGCACCCTTGAGAGGCCGGCGCCCTGGCGCAATGAACCACTAAGCCCTATGGGAAAGACGGCTCTGGATGGCAGCCAAGTATTGTAGCGGGCTTTGGGCTCTCTCGGGAGCCCTGCCATTTTTCCAGTGGTGTAGCATCATTTGTGCATGGGCAGGGGCGCAGTGCGGTGTGTGAATGGAGCCCGCTATGCCAGCCCAGCCCTCATCACCAGAGCCAAGTGGGGCCACACTGCGCTGCCTGCCCACTCGTTTATGGCAGAACCCAGCTGGTCAATGTGGCCCTTGGCAGGTGAATGCTCACAATGCCTGTGGAGAGGTGTGCTGGGCCGGGCCAACTTGGGAATGCTCCTTGCTTGCCTCCCTCCATCATCTGTCCATCGTCCGTCCGTTCACCATGTGTCACCATGTGTGTTTGTGGATTTTAGTCTCAGTAGACCAGAGTTGGATTGCTGAAATTCAGGGAAGAGCGAGCCAAATGGGCAGTATGACTACCCAAAGCACATAGACCATTGCTCTAATATTAGGAGACTTTTTGGTGTGTGTGACCTGTGTTGGGGGAAATGTTATGTGCGAGTCCAGAGTGTGAGGCTTGCTTTACATCAACAGAACGGTCAGGGGGGGCTCTCAGAAGATGCTCAAGGTATCCTTCTCAGGTTCTATCTCATTCACTGCTCTGTGCTAGGATGTTGTTTGAAGGCATCATCATATTTAGCTGCGTATCAGATCTTGACTGCTGAATAACCGTGATGCATTTTCTCTGCTGGACAAATGCATGCCGGCGCATGTCCTTTCTCATGGGCATGCGCACAATGCCTTGGCATGAAAGAGGTCTTTGAAAGATTGCAGCTATGGGCATGATGAATCCAAAAGATGGGATGCTGTCCTTCACCCTGGACCCTTCCTTCCTCCTCCCCATTCGGGGAGCCTCAAGAGATAACAACCCCATGATTCGCTGCATTGCATTTTGCTAACAGCGCTTTGTTCATATAGCTCCTGTTCCTGGCAAGATTAATGCCTTGAGTAAATGAGAGTGACAGGCTTCAAGATGCTGGGGGAGGATGGAAACAGCCCATTCCTTCAACAAACACTTCCCTGCCTCCTGTATCCCTAAGCAGCTAGGTTTTCAGGGGCTTCTGGCTGGCTGCCAAGGGGCGGGGGGGGGGGGGGCGACGCTATCAGTTGGAAAGATCTGGTTGCCTTGTTTTGGGGTGGGGTGCCAAGCAGCTCACCCTCCGCTTTGGGCACCATAACATGAATTCTTCCTATGCGCTTAGGTGAAAACCCTAGGCTGCCTAAGCATTAGATCCTTTTTGTCTTTCCTTCCTGTGGCTCGTGTTACCTCCTGAGCCTGCTGAAAGGGTCTCTTTCAGGGAGTCTCCATCAACACTGCGGAGGCTGGAGGAAAGGAAATGAGAGGGGTTATGCTTTGTACCCCTGAAAGTAAATGGGCACTAGTGTTGTGAAAGACTCCAGAGTCTTCTTTTTGCTGTGACCTGTGTCGTGAAAGAATACTGCATCATACAGCGGGGGGAAATATTTTTTTTGTTTTGTTTTGATTTGTTTTAATCCCCAATGCTTGCTTACCTCCAGAATCCACCCTACTTCCTTTTAAAGGCAGTAAAAATCTAGAGAATTTTGCAGGGAGTTCTAAGGCAGTTCCTTGGAAGAACCTTGGAACACTGAATAATTTGGAGGTAGCTCAAAATCCAGAGCCCTTGTCTCAATGTGGTCTCCCTGTAGAGTCTGATATACAATAGTCGCTGCTCTTCTTTGCAGGGATCAAAGTTTTCCTTGCCACTATGGCGAAGCTTCCATTGCCATCTCATGAGAGAGATGAGCAGAACCCCAGTTGCCTCGTCCGGGTTGGAGCTGGAGCGTGGAATTGAATAGGATTTGGCATGTACTGCTGAGAAGACTCAGCAGTAATCTGGAGAAGAAACTTCAGGCTTGCTGTTTTGGCACTGTGTGGTAGAGGTCACGTGATGTCAAAGAATCCTGCTTTTAAAGTGTTGCCGATTATAAGGATGTCATCTCATCACATGACTGCCAAGTCATCCTTGCAGCCTTTGGCGATTCAGTTTGGGTACACACCCATACATTGAAAGCTCCTGATTTCCCCCCAATAATCCTGAGAAGGGTTGTTTGTTAAGGGTGCTGGGAATTGCAGCTCTGTGAGGGGTAAACTACAGTTCTCCAGGGGAAGTCGTGTGCTTTAAATCTGCTTTATATGTGTGGTGTGTGTACAGCCTTTGTCATTAGTTGTCAGTTCAGATATAAAATATCTATCTCATCAACATAGTTTGGAAAGCTTCAAAGAATTGAAAAATGTTGATAAAATAAGATTTTTGAATAAGTCATTAGTTGTCTTTCTGCGGGAAAGCTTCTTTTTTTAAAAAAACGTTTCTAGCTTTAACCCTGCTGTCTAGTGGTTGCAATCTGCTTCCAGTTCACTAATCCCAATAGGTGAGTCCACATTATTTCCCCACTGGCTAATGGCATGCTGAATTAGCTTGTTCTTCAGCATTCTTTCTCTCCCCCCCCCAACTGTTGGCACAGGAACTGATTAAATATTTTTTTGTCATAATATATCCAGGGGGTTGGCATGGTTGTCTTCCATTTTGAAAGTGATACGCTGCTAGTTAGATTTATGTAAGCAGCTCTCTCGGTTTTATATAAATGACAAACCGGCAGTGTGCTGTTTGTTCATTTGCTTGTTTGTCTGTCAATGTGTTGTTTGTTTGTTGCAATTTACAATATAATAAACACACACACACACACACACACACACACACACACACACTCAGAGAGAGAGAGAGAGAGAGAGAGAGATGATAGATAGATGATAGATAGATGAGAGATAGATGAGAGAGAGATAGATAGATAGATAGATAGATAGATAGATAGATGATAGATAGATGAGAGTGTCTCTGCTTACAAAACCCATCAATCACATATATACAAGTAATTCAGAACAGTACGTATTAGGGCGGTTCATAATTATTATTATTATTTTTTTGAAAATGCCGGCTCCAAAGGTCTTATCTTACACTATGGAACATATTGCTATATCTGAAATTTCATGCATATCAGTTAATATCTTGACCCTGCTCCACTGAATTGAAACTTCAGCCTTCACAACACAGGAAAACGGCCAAGTAAATAGCTATTTTCATTGTAGTATGATACGGGATATGTGGGGGTACAGAAGGAGTGGCTCACCATGTTGTAGAGCCTGCACAAGGAGGGCAGGGAGGACTTGCCACCACCTCCAGGGTGGTGGAAAACAGGATGGGAAGCAAGGCAGTGGTAGAGGCAGCCAGGGAATAGATTACTTTGTTTCTAGTATGTTTAAGAGCAGGAACCATGAAAAGGCTGTGTAAATAAGGGTGAAGAAATCTTGCTAGAGGCATGTTGTGGGAGAATCTGATTGGCTGTTTGGCTCAGAGCGCTGCCAAGTTTTTCGGCTACTGGCAATCATAAAGTCATTGGGCTGGTGCTTGGCTTTATAGCTGCCCTTTTGATCTTCCTTCCTTGATTTACCTTTCTGTTGTCTTCCCTGTGTGCATAAAAGACAGAGGAGCGGCAATATCTTCCTGTCGCTCTGCAGGTGCTTTCCACTCCCCTCCTCTTTGCTTCTTAACCTTGGTCAGCTGCCCATAAACTTCTGCCATTCCTAGTGTTTATAATATGTACAAACTTCCAGCCTTCCTGTATTAGCACTCAACTACTATCTTCCTGGTGCAGCAGTGTGAGATATGGGGGGGGGGGGAGGTAATGATAATGTATGCTAGCTTGTTTGCATAAAGGTAAAGGGGACCCCTGACCATTAGGTCCAGTCGTGGCCGACTCTGGGGTTGCGGCGCTCATCTCGCTTTATTGGCTGAGGGAGCCGGCGTACAGCTTCCAGGTCATGTGGCCAGCATGACTAAGCCGCTTCTGGCGAACCAGAGCAGCGCATGGAAACGCCATTTACCTTCCCGCCAGAGCGGTACCTATTTATCTACTTGCACTTTGACGTGCTTTCGAACTGCTAGTTTGGCAGGAGCAGGGACCGAGCAATGGGAGCTCACCCTATCGCGGGGATTTGAACCGCCGACCTTCTGATCGGCAAGTCCTAGGCTCTGTGGTTTAACCCACAGTGCCACCTGCGTCCCTGCTTGTTTGCATAGGAACAGAGAATAGTAGCAATGGAAGGAGCTCCATCTCATCCAACCCCCCCTGCAATGCAGGACCATGCAGCTGTCCCATACGGGGATCGAACCTGCAACCTTGGCGTTATCAACACCACACTCTAACCAGCTGAGCTATCCACTTGTTGCCATGTTGCATCCTGATTTTTCTTCCTGGTCTAGTGCGGCCGTGAGTTTCAACTAATGGAGGTTGATGAGGCTCATGTCAGTAGAGTGAAGTAACAGGAAGAACTGTTAGGCTGGAGTCTGGAGATTTTTCTACCGCTCTTTCAAAACAGCCACCGGAGAGATAGACACACGTTCATCTCTCTCTCTCTCTCTCTCTCTCTCTCTCTCACACACACACACACACCCCTTGTTGGGAGTAAAAGATTCTACACAACCGACTACAGTGGTACCTTGGGTTAAGTACTTAATTCATTCTGGAGGTCCGTTCTTAACCTGAAACTGTTCTTAACCTGAAGCACCACTTTAGCTAATAGGGCCTCCCACTGCCGCCCCCCCATGCGATTTCTGTTCTCATCCTGAAGCAAAGTTCTTAACCTGAGGTACTATTTCTGGGTTAGCGGAGTCTGTAACCTGAAGCGTCTGTAACCCGAGGTACCACTGTACTTCTAAAACAGGTCTGCTAAAGTCCCTTCCTTCATTGATAAGTATCACACCTTTCCGATGGAAGTTGGGAAAGAGAAGAGTGAGCTCACCTCTCAGTAGAGAAGAATGAGATACAAAAACCCCTGCCAACTCCCCCATATTTTGGACCAGCTCCATTTCACCCATGTTTTCCTGCTCAGTATTTTCTGCGAGACCATCCTCTTCCTTGGTCTTTGTGTGTGAGCCTGGCCCACCACCAAAGGGATGAGAGGGGCTTTGATCTATTGTGGGTGATTAAACTCCTATCATCCAGACTGACAGCTTAATATACCTCAGCGAGGCCTCACTAAATTAGTTGTGTCTGTCTTGCCAAAGCTGCTGCGGCAGAAATGCCTTCCAACAGTTATTGGCACTTGGTACCCCTTCCCCTTCTTTTAATATACAGCAAGGGCTGCCATTCTCCTAGATTCCAGGGCGTCTGTCCTCATGTTTCATATAAACTGATCTAGCGCTGCTGGAGTTACTCTCTCTCTCTTGTCTTTGTTGAGTGGAAACAGCTGCCTTTGGTCCTGCTCCCAAGAATCTGCCAGTGTGTATAGCCTGCTTTGGTCTTTGCTTCTCCATCTTCATACGTTCAGATGCCTCTGTGAGTTATTAACATAGACACGGATTTTCCATTTAATTTCAGCAATGTAGTTGAATTTTAGTGTTTACGAAAGCAGTGGCCTTATTGAAAACCTCGAGCAATAACCTCGGGAGAGCCTTTCAAAATATCAGCCACGAGACCTTGTCTCCTGAGAGCTGCCAAGTATTCCTGTTCTCTTGGATTTGTTGCTGACAAAAAAAGTGCTGTGCTGTGTTTTCCACAACTAGAAAACCTACCAGGTTTGTGTAAGGTGAAGGAAGTTGGATAGGAGCTTGAGTGTAATCTATTCTACACTTGCTGCTGATGGGATTGAAAGTAAAATAAAAATGACCCTGAGCCAATGATCTAAGTGAATTCAACACACACACCCATTTCTTGAGGTTTGGGGTTTAATCCAGTGTGAGGGAGTCAATTTCATTAGGGTCTGACCACCATTATATTTCTTTTACTGGTAGTTCAGCTATGAATTTATAGCTGGATAAAATTTAGGCAGAAGATTCCCAGTTTAAGAATTGTATGTGAGTGCCCTGTCACCTGGATGCCACACTCTGAACTGAAGACAGAAAGTCTTATTCTTAAAACATCACTGCCAACTTCCTTTTTAAAATTCTAAGGTGATGGAGACTCAGCAAGTTCTCTGGGCAATGAGCACAATGAGCTATACTAGTGGTAATAATTTTAGCCCTCTATTGGTGCAACTGTTGTTGGCATATTGTCAACTGAAACACCCTTAATTTGGGAATTGGATATTGTCCCGTTAACCCCGAACTGAGGCTAGAGTAAAAAAATAAAAATAAAACTCATGGGTTTCATTATCTAATAAGCTATTTAAAACAAACAAATAATAGTCACGTGTCTGTTTTGTTAATAAATCTTATATGCATATATTAGGAAACTATCTGTTTCTTGGTGGGGTGACAGGTGAGACGTCACTCTGAGGGGGAAACGATTCCCCATGTGACAGAATGAAGATGTCCCTTATTGTGAAATCCAAAGAACAGTCTAGCTTCGAGCACAACTTCTCCAGCCAATTTCCCTTTTTTTTTTTTTTTTTTGCCAGGAGCTTGGGGAAAAATAACTTCATAATTACCACTTTTTAAAAGGAAGGAATCTTGCATTAAAAACAAATCTCCTGCAAGGATTATCAAAGCATGTGGCATCTTGTCAAATGTGAAAACACAGTCTGGGCCTTCTCATTTTTTTGGGAGATGAGAGATGTTGATATCAGCGTATATCTCTGGTTCAGACGTGCCAAATGATGGGCCTTAGTGACCGTAGGACCCCTGATTGTGGAAAAAAACTTGTCCAATCTATTCCATTCAAGGCTGCAGCTGTTCTTTACAGCTTGAATATTCTAATCATATGTGGCACTCACTGTGAGAGAAACGAGGTTACAGGGAACCAGGCATAAGGCCTTCTTGGTAGTGGCACCCGCATTGTGGAATCCCCTTCCATCAGATGTCAATGAGATAAGTAACCACACAACTTTTAGAAGTTTTTAATGTTTGATGTTTTATTTTGTTTTTGTATATGCTAGGAGCTGCCCAGAGTGGCTGGGGCAACCCAGTCAGATTGGCGGAGTACAAGTAATAAAATTATGATGATCTTAAACTGGAAAGCCTAATTCTTTGCAAATGCTTGGGCTTTTG